GCCTCGGCCAGGCCGTCGCACACACGCCGACCAGCTGTCGCGGCCGCGAAGGAGAAACACGGTACGCCTCTTGCCTTCATGGCCTCGGCCGGAATCTGAAGCCTGTTGCGTCGCCGTTCTCTGGGTCGCCCACTTAGGCCAGACGGTGAGCTCCTGCAGGACGGGGCCTCTCTGCTCTGTCTTCACGAGCGTCTGGTGAAGCCTGACCCAGCTGGGGGACTCGCATTGGGGAACCCTCACCCCAGCGGTCCCATTTGAGCTGAGATCCGGAGACATGCCTAATTCGAGGGGTGGGAGCATCCCGGGAGCAGGAGGGGGGACGGGTAGGCAGAGGGCTACCGTCCCAGGGGACCATGAGCCACACACAGTAAGTTGAGTTTTTGTACCCAGCTCGGAGGCCACTGGGGGTTAAAGCCCGGGAAGTGACGTAATTATGCCTGCACTTTAAGGCTTTTCTGGCAATTGGAGAAGGGGTTAGAGGCAAGAGAAGATTTGAGAGCACTTGGGCAGGCGGTTACCGTAGTCCAGGGGACGAGATGGAGGGGACAGAATTAAAGAGAATGGGTTTGAGAGGACTTCAGACACAGAGAAGGAGGAGGTGTGGGTGGCAGATTCTAGATTCTGGCATGCCTAGCCAAATGCACGGTGGGCCCATCCTGAGACTGAACAGTACAGGGGACCAGGTTTGTGTGGAAAGATCACAAGTTTGGTTTTAGACAGGTTTTTGAAGTACTTTGGAGACGTGCCAAATAGGCAAATGGCAGGTGGCTCTCTGGGTTTGGCGCCTGGAAGAGTGGGTCAGGCTGGAGAGATTTGGGAATTGTTGGCACGTAAGTGGCACCGGACACCATGGCCGTGGCTGGGGTCAGCCAGATGGAGACACTGAGAGGGGCAGCCAAGGATCAGGCTGTGAGAACACTGGCCATCAAAGGCTTCTTAAAGGACTGGAGGAGAACGCAAACCATCGCCCTTGCCCCCGGGCCTGGCACCTTGCCAGAATGGAACCCAAGCTGAAGAGTCTGGCAGGCTTGCATGGCTTCCTGACGTTCTCGGAGTTGTCCCCCGCCAGTCTCTCTAGCTTTGGCACCTGCCCCCTCCCACACTGGATCCAGAGCCATCGCGGGCTGCTGACAGCCAGCGTGTCTGGTGTCCTGAGTCCTGTGGCCTTCCCCACCCCAGCCCCCTGTGGGTGCTCAGACATCCCGTTCAGTTTTGCTCGTATGCCCCCTCCTGGGCGAAGCCTTGACTCCAGGAGAGCTGACTTCTTGGCGCCTCCCAGGTCCTAGCACCATACCACTCGCCACACTTGGCCGCACCTGCACGTGGCCAAGAAGCGATCACCTCCCAGAACGCACTCGCCACATACGATGCAGCACCCCCTCCAGAGGTTTCAGACCCTCACAAAAAACAGCTCCTTGGGGGTGGGCAGCTTACAGCTCTGTCCTTCCAGAAGGGAAGGAACCACCCAGAAGTGACAGCCGTTTCTCTCATTTCAGGATCATGGTTTTGGCAGGAGACACGCTGCCCATCGAGGTGTACTGCCACCTCCCGGTCATGTGTGAGGACCGGAACCTGCCCTATGCCTACGTCCCCTCCAAGACGGTAAGGACGCCCCGCCGACCTTGGGCATGCCGGAGGGGGTCTGGAGTGCTGTCTTCGGGGGCAGGAGTGTGGAAGGAAGACGGGCCTGATTGTGGGGTGCAGACAGGTCACTTCTCCACACTTACATGTGGATTGGGGGTCCCATCGAGACTGTGAGAACGAGAATGTGTATGTGAATGTGCTTGGTAGACAGAAGCGCTCCACTGTGCTCAGAGGAAGTGTGGGTGTCCTCATCCTTACATAGCAGGGGCTCTGGGCACAAGAGTGGGGTGTGATAGTGGGGGCCTGTCTAGGGTGACAGGCCCCCTGGGCTGAAGCCCTTTTAAAGTTGCCAAATGGCTGGGCTCAGTGGCTCAGCCTGTAATCCCAACACTTTGGGAGGCCGAGGACAGTGAACTGCCTGAGCCCCCGGGTTTGAGACCCACCCGGGCAACTTGGCAAGACCTCATCTCTACAATAAAAATTAAAAAATGGGCCGGGCTCGGTGGCTCAGCCTGTAATCCCAGCACTTTGGGAGGCCAAGGTGAGTGGATTGCCTGAACCTGCGGGTTCGAGACCCGCCTGGGCAACTTGACGAGATCTCATTTCTACAATAAATCAAAAATTAGCCAGGCGTGGTAGTGCCACCTGTAGTTCCAGCTACTTGGAAGGCTACAGTGACCGGGAGTGGCCACTGCACTCATCTGAGTGACAGAGTGAGACTCCAACTCAAAAAATAAAAATTAAAAATTAAAAAATCAGCTGGGCATGGTAGTGCACACCTGTAGTTCCGGCTACTTGGAAGGCTGAGGCGAAAGGATTGCCTGAGCCCAGCAGGTTGATGCTGGGGTGACTGTGAGTGTGCTACTGCACTCCAGTCTAGGCAACAGAGTGAGACTCCAACTCAAAAATAAAAAATAAATAGCTGGGCACATGCCTGTAGTTCCAGCCACTTGGTGGCCGTGAGTGTGCTACTGCACTCTAGCCTGGACAACAATGAGACTTCTATTCAATCAACCAGTCAACAGCGCAAATTCAAAACTGTTTTTTGCATGGGGGTCTCACAGCTACAACCTCCTGGGCTCTGGTGATCATCCCAAGTAGCTGGGATTGCAAGCGTGAGCCACTGTGCCCAGCCCTCAGAATGTTTTTGGATATAACACGGACCCAACAGGACATGGCTGTGAGCCACATCAGGCTGGCAGGTCGTCGGTTGTGACTCCAGGCATCCAGGTTGCATGGCCTTTTGTCTGAGCAGCCCGTCTCTCCCCTCCCCTGCAGGACCTGGGTGCAGCAGCAGGCTCCAAACGCCCCACCTGCGTGATCATGGTCAAGCCCCACGAGGAGTACCAGGAGGCCTACGACGAGTGTCTGGAGGAGGTGCGGGCCCTGCCCGCGGCCCTGTGACGGCTCGGCACACCTGGGCGTCTCTGGAAGCTGTTGGGATGGTGGGCCAGCGGCTGCCCACACTGACAGCGTCTCCAGCTCCTTGAGGCCAGCTTCTTCCCAGGCAGCTCTTGGCGACACCGGCGTCTCCTTCAGTGCTGCTGCTTGGTGCCCTCAAGTGAAGCAGGTTCCAAGCGTGTGGGGTGGGAAGTAAATGCTGAGACTAGCACACAGCGAGTTTGCAGGTGTTTTTAGCAGTAGCTGCTGGTGGGGCCGTGGCGTTGGTGGGACTGAGTGTTCCCTGCTCATGCGGCCAAGACAGTGGGTGCCGAGATGCAGCTGAGACTGACTACTGGTACCCCAGCACTTTCAAGACCCCCTTCCGGGGTAGGAGGGGCCGAGAGAGAAGACAGCAAGCCCGGACCACTTCACAGAAGTCTGCAGCCCCCATGTCCGGGACACCCCCTTTCTCTCCCCCAGGAGTCTGAAATACTGTTCATGACCAGCCTGGACAACTTGATCATGGGAACAATTCAGCCACCCACGTGGCAGATTGGAAACAGGAGTAGGAAGCTAGCTATCTTGCTTAACAGCCCTGATGACCCAATGCCTCCAGACACTTTAGACAAGCTCTGCACAGGACTCAGCATACACAGCAACCAGGCTTCAATCACACTGGGATAGACTGGAAAGTGCTTGGGCTTGGCATCAGGTGTAGTGTCAACATCCAGTTCTCTTTCCCATGCTGTGAGTCCTGGTGAGCAAGTTACTTCATCTTCTGACATTACATTCTACCTTTTCTTTTGAGTAGGAGTCTTATTGTCACCCGGGCTGGGGTGCAGTGGCACACTCACAGCCACTGCAGCCTTGACCTGCTGGGCTCAGGCGATCCTTCCACCTCGGCCTTCCGAGTAGCTGGAACCACAGGTGTGTGGCACCATGCCTGGCTAGTTTTTTGTGGGTTTTTTTTGTCTTTTGTAGAGAGAAGGTCTTGCCAAGTTGCCCAGGCTGGTCTCAAACCCCTGGGTCAAGCAGTCCTCTCACTTCCGCCTCCCAAAGTCCTGGGATTACAGGCGTGAGCCACCGTGCCCAGCTACATTCTACCAATTTTTAACATGGAGGCAGTAAGATCTTGTATATGTAAAAGCACAGAGATGCCAGCTGGATTCTTCCTACCTGGACACTGGCTAGCCCTGTGTCTATGTGGAACCCAGTCTCTACATGCAGCAGACGTGCAGTAACAGTTTGCCAGTGAGGCCAACATTGGCCAGGAGAGAGAAGGGCAGTGAATATATTTGCTCAGTTGTAAAACAACAGCATTCTGCTCTAACGTGGAGTATTTACAGTGGGAGATGGGTACATACACTATTTACAGTGGGGCAGGGGAGAGGCTGCAGGGGGGGGGCCGAGATGAGCCCAGGGCCG